AGCACATATACTCTGGACTCTCTCGCTCTATATGTTTTTCATCTATATAACTTGATAAACAAGTAAATGGTGAGGCAGAATCTGAAAAAAGTCGAACAGATCAAAGTAGACGAATCTACAAAACTGTTTCCTTATGTCTTCGGGTTGAACAATTCTTCTGGTAATAGCGCAAAGAGATCGAGGCCTACGCTTATCTATCTTCTTCTCGTCTCTCTTATCTCAAGTTGCTTCGTCTTTGCTCCTCACTTCCTTTGTTTTCCTTACCCTCCTGCTCTGTTTCTCGTCGGTATGATTCTTCTATATTGTACTACAAGTAAAATCACTTTCTGTGTTGTTTTTCTTGTCCTAAACTACTTTCACTTCATATGTTTTTGCAGATTCTTCTATCAAAGAGATTGAAAACCGGGTTCCTCAGAACGATACAGAAGCTCCCCAGACGTCGAAAAATGGTTAGTACTTAATCCTCTGTTTCTTATTGGTCTTGGAACATCAAGCAAGAAGATTCTTAGTGTTTTCATCTATGGTTATTATGTAGAAGAGAGCATCTTGTGTGACAGAACCGGTTATCGGTCAGACATATGTACCATGAAAGGCGATATCAGAACGCACTCTCCTTCTTCCTCGATCTTTCTCTACACCTCGAATGATCTCTCCGATCATGTCTTGCAAGAAAACATTAAACCATACACCAGAAAATGGGAAACTAGTATAATGGAAACCATCCCTGAGCTGAAACTTGTGACAAAAGATGTGAAGCTTTTTGGCGATAAGTGTAAGTGCCAAGTGATCCATGAAGTACCCGCCGTGTTATTCTCTACCGGAGGATACACCGGAAACCTATATCATGAGTTTAACGATGGGCTTATTCCTTTGTATATAACATCTAAACGTTTCAACAAAAAGGTTGTCTTTGTGATTGCTGAGTATCACAAGTGGTGGGAGATGAAGTATGGAGATGTTCTCTCTCAGCTCTCTGATTATCCTCTTATTGATTTCAACAAAGACAAGAGAACTCACTGCTTCAAGGAAGCTATTGTTGGTCTTAGAATCCATGGTGAGTTAACAGTAGATCCTTCTCTGATGCAAGATGATACAACAACCATCAATGAGTTCAAAAATCTACTTGATCAAGCTTATAGACCTCGAATCAACAGCTTGGAGAGCGAAGAGGAGCAACGTTTCCACTCAAAAGCAGCCAAGAGAAGAAAGGCTCAAAGACCAAAAATAGCATTGTTTTCAAGAACCGGGTCTCGAGGGATAACAAACGAGGATCTGATGGTGAAATTGGCTCAGAGGATCGGGTTTCAAGTCGAGGTTTTGAGACCCGACAGAACAACGGAACTGGCAAAGATTTACAGAGTGCTTAACTCAAGCCATGTCATGGTTGGTGTACATGGAGCAGCAATGACTCATTTTCTGTTCATGAAACCTGGAGGTGTCTTCATTCAGATCATTCCATTGGGGACAGATTGGGCTGCAGAGACATATTATGGAGAGGCGGCAAAGAAGCTCGGTCTAGACTACATTGGTTATAAGATTCTTCCGAAAGAGAGCTCATTGTATGACAAATATGATAAAAACGATCCCATTCTAAGAGATCCCAGGAGCATCACTCAGAAAGGATGGCAATTCACAAAGGGGATATACCTAACCAACCAGCAAGTAAGGTTAGACCTCCGGCGATTCAAGAAGGTTTTGGTTCATGCGTATGCAAAATCCACTAGCTGACTTGAAATGGGTTTTTGATACTCTTTTTTCCTGCTGTATAGTTTACACAAACTATAGAAATTGCAAAGTTTACTGTAAAGATTTGAACGAAACCGTAACATAAATGAATTCAATTGTTTCAGAGACACGAACAACAAAACTGTTAAGGATGACTCTAAGAGGCATCTGTGTTACAGTCAAGAGCCATCTAAAGTTGAATTCTTATTTACTCTGAAGAAAAGAAAAAAAAAATCATCCTATTGAATGGACATTGAAGTGTAGATGCTGAAAAGACTTTCAGTGAGAACTGAGAAACTATTCTTCGAGCAAAAGCAAGAGAACGTGTTTTTCTTCAATAGCTTAAGCTCATTTCTTCACAAGCCGGATAGTTCGGTATTTAAATGACAGTTTTCCCAATTAAGAAAAACGTAGACTGGAATATCTAAATTGAAGTTGAATCGTTAGTAAATATGTTATCTTGGAAACATGAAATTATGCACTGAGATTTTGGGCTAGGTTTACGTGGGTATATCCTTTTTAATTAGAAACTTAGAATATGTATATCTCGCAACAAATAAACAAAATCTGTAATCAACTTTTGGTGAGAAAATGAAATGTTATTTTGCCGCCTATCTAAAAAAAATTGTTGGAATATCGCCAAGAAACCTTCTTAAGGCAGTCGTGGAATTCATGGCATCCAAAACGCTTGAAACGATCCCTCTCAGATAGCCGCAGCGGTTCGAGTGAAGCTACCAAAGCCAAATGTTGCACTTATTATGAGTACTGTCAATTACTTAGGGTTGAGATCATATAGCAGAAGCATTGATTCAAAGAACTGAAAAAGCCTAATAATTCCTTTATCGAGACAACGAGTAATTTGTATCCTACGAAATCCCAGTTTCTTTCATTTGTTTGCTCTTAACTATTACATAATTTAGTCTTATGAATCTTCTTTGTTAATGTCATCGAGAAGTACAACTAGAGAATTACAACTACAAGGACTATAAAAACGAAATCAACATTCGGGTTAACCGTAACCGAAAAATTACTCTTCCCAATCAATATGCTCTGCACCTATGTTTATTGTGCATCTGACCAGAAGATGCACAAGTTCTATGTGAACTGTGCTCTCTTCCCAATCAAAAGTTCTATGTTTGATTGTTGTTGCTAATTTGTTGAACTTGAGTAAACTTTATTGTGACTGTTTTATCTGGTCCGTACAAGATTTTTAGGTTAGATATAAGTATCAATTGAATCTGAGTTGGTTTGGTTGTTGGTTGATCGATTTTAGCTGTTTTATGTTTGATTGCTGTTGCTTTTTTGTTGAATCTGAGTAAGCTTATTGTGACTGTTTTATCCAGTCCGTACCTGATGAGTCCATAGCTTTGCTCAAATCTATCATGTCGTTAAAAATGAAAATTGATGTTGCGAAATCAAAATTGCTGTTGCAATTTACAATAAAAATGATTTGATTGTAAAATTTACAATAAAAATCATTTTTATTGTAAATTGCATCAACTGTAGCACCCTTAGCAGCCACAGCAATGACCGAACCACCATACTCTGTCCTCTTGCAAGAAGCCTTGATAGACTTAAGCAAAGCTATTTCGCAGCAGTCCCTGTGGGATTTTGCGTAGGTTATTTCTTTGAAAGAAACATCATGGAGAGAGCTGAGAAGAAAACTGAGGCAGAGGTAAGGAAAAAGCAAAAAAAAAAAACAAATTGGATGCTGATCTGATTTTGTACTTCATTCTCTATATGTCTTGTGTACTTCATGCTATATGTGTGCTTCCCTCTTTCATGTGCCTGAGATGGTTAGATCTAGATCTAAGGCCTTTCGATTTGATTTGATAGATTCATCCTTATTTGTTGTTTTACATTTAATACTCTATTCTATTGTAGTCTGCTGCGATTGAATCTTTGGCTCTGCTCAGATCTATTAGAAAGTCATGCCGGAGAATCGAGATTGGTGGCTCATTTGTTGCGGTGGGAATGAAGGGTTACCTAACAGATCTGGCAGCGAAGAAATCCAATGTGTTACGCCAACAATCGTTTGAGTTTCTCTCTCAAGATCCGTCTGCAAATCCGTTTGCCCCTTGTTTTACCGATCTGTGAGTTTGTTGATTCTGCATTCTAATAATGCAATGACTTGTTAAGATGCTTTTGCTCTCGTGATGATGCAATGACTTGTTAATATGCTTTTACTCTCGTGATGATGCAATGACTTGTTAAGATGCTTTTGCTCTCGTGATGCTGCTTGCTTTTGGATTAAGATGCGATTCTTTTCTTTGATTTCGTTTTATGGAAAGTTATATAATCATGATGAAAACGTAGATCAATTAATTGAGATGTTAAATTTTATTGCGCTCCCTGAGGCTAATTGGGTGTTAATTAGAGTTATGTTTAATTGGGCTAATTGGGCGTTAGTTGGAGTTGTGTTTAATTGGGCTAATTGGGCGTTAATCGGATTTAATGTTTAATTGGGCGTTAAGAGTTGATGAGGCTAATTCGACGTTAATCGGAGTTATGTTTAATTGGTTGACCAAAACTCGGTTCAAAAACGTTTCAATTTGGGCGTTAATCAGAGTTATGTTTAATTGGGCGTTAATCAGATTTGGGACCAATGTTTGTTTTGTCAATAACTGAATTTCTTACCTAATCCGAGTAGATTATTTTGATTTATGAAAAAATATTGTTTAATTAATTGAAAAATTGTAAGATTAATCGTGTAATTGTAAAATTAATTATATGAGATGCAAATTAATTGGATTGTTAATGTGATTGCGTTTTATTGCGTATAGTTTTATGGAAATTATGTTTAATTGGTTGCCTAAAAACTCAGGCCCAATAACGTTTCAATTTTTGAAAGAAATCATTGGTTTAATCAAAATTAATTTTGAAAATCGGGTTTACTATCGGACTCGAGATATTTCGTTTATGATAAATGTGTATGAAAATCAAAATTAATTTGTGATAAATGTTTCGTTTTAACCGTATATTAAATTTTCATTCTAAAATACAAAAAAAAGTAATAATTCGGTGTTAAAAGAATAGTTGAAGAAAAAGTAGACGAATAATTCTGTATATAAACACTAATTTTACATATTACATGAGTCAACAAAAAAAAAAGTGGTACATTACTAAAAATAAACACTAATTTACATAAACTGCTAATCGAGAAACCAAACAGTATTTTACACCTTCCTCTTATACCATTTACCATTCTCCTGCAATGGAACTAATGAATCCACTGGATTAGAAAAAAAGAAACAAGGTAACATTCATAAAACCAGATATTGTAGAAATCGAGAAACGTTGAAGCCTTGCGTTCTTCAAAGTGAATAATCACATGGTTATGAGATTCAGCCCTCGTGAATGCGGTTCACAATTTCGTCCCTCAACATACGTCCAAAACGTTTTTGATGGATTATGGTGAGACAGAGATTTGTGTCAACTGTAGTAACAAGGGCTGAGCCACACAACCACGTGATCAGGCGTTTGATTGTA